CAGGAAATCATTAAAATTTCCTGTGAATTAATGGAAATATAGAAAGGAATATAGGCCAAATCAGACTGAAGTTTGTCTGACTTTCCCTCTCTTCTCAAGAAAAAGAGAACAGTATTGCCCTAAAGCAACGGGCATTTATGAATCAAACTAATAAGCACTCAGAAAGGCTCACATTCAAGAGTTTTGAATAAAGAAATCATTCTAATTCATCCATTGGAATATGAATGAATGAATGAAATAGTCCAGTTATTAACTGACTGGCTAAAATGGTTAAGGAATGGCAGGCTCCTGTTCACCTCAGCTGGGGGGAACCTGGTCCCTCTGGGACACCTAAACACAGTGACCTTTTCTACGAAAGCACAAAAACAGCATGCTAGTTTTTGCCCACATTCAAACTATGTGCAGCAACGTGTAAACCTGTAACTCTTGAGTAGTGAAGTGTCACATGCTAAAATCTCCCATTTCATCTTGGCTTGCTTTAAAAAAGGTCAGGCTGTTGCTGTAATCTTATAATTGAAAATCTTCATAGCACTTAGCATCTCTTCTCCATGCTTTGCTCCTGGAAAGAGGACAGGAATTGTGTTCTCTTATTCCATGCTGGACCCACACCTTTCCTTGACACCTCAGTTCAGTCTGTAGTCATTGAATGAATAGATGAATCTTTCTAAAAAAGCACCATATAGTAAGTTTTTTGAAGAACGATATTATGTGTCTCAGAATCACTGTGTTCTTCATAGTACCTTCTTGTTCAGGGAAGTACATAGGAAAGGTAAGTGTATAATGATACCAATAATTTCCCGAAACTGGCTCATCATTTGACTCTTTCTTTGAATTAAATGCCACAATAACAAAAAATCTGCACATTTGAGGTGCTTAATTACTTTGGCTTCAGTTCAGTTTCAGTATAATTAGGAGACCAGTATGTCCTTTTGATGTAATTTTTGGGTCCTCACATGTGCTAGAGTATTGTGATAACGAACATCACCACCATGACTGTAACATAGGTAATTTATTTTTTGACCAAGGACTAAAGAAAATGTATTAAAATTAAACAAAGAATACCATCAACTTTGAGGCAATGTGGCCCCCCATGCTAACTGTCAGAGGAAGAAGTCAGATGCTTCAGATGTTTCATAATTTATGGCCCACTCAGGGTAGTGTAGGGCTGGCCTGGAGTTAGCCTAATACTTGTTCACCACCTTTGTTAGATGATCTCTGCCTGGGATGAGCTTTATCTCACGTTATCTCCTTCATCTCTTTCCTGATGAAAAGTCTTCTGACTTCTGCCTAGCCTAAGAGAGCTGCCAGGATAAAATTATCATTGCAATTTCATATGGGATTAGCTTTTATCAAACTAAGTGAATCAATGGCTTAAAAAAAACCCTCTGGCTAATTTGTGTCCTGCTGTGCTGCTTTAAAAATAGTACAACTAAAAAGATTCTTAAAATAATTAGACTAGAAGTGACCTGGGATTAGGAAAAGGTTCACATTCTGACAGACCTGGATCTGCTTGTGGGAGCCGGTGTCTCTTTAGACAGCGGCGATTTGGGGACACTGTCTCTTCCACGCATGCTTGAGAATTTGTAAACTAGGCGTTTTCCTCAGAGTGGAAAACTTAATTATCAAATTACCTTGTTCTCAGAGTAAATGTCAGCTCCTTTAAAGTGAGTCCACCATATTTTGCCTGAACATAAGCTGAGGTCTGGAATTGCTTAACTTTTGTTTTCACTGTAGTTTACACAGCAGGCAGTTACTCCTGCAACTTTAGATAGTAACTATGACAAACTTTAACTAGCTATGAAGAAATCATTGAATAACTGTGTAAATGCTGACAGTGACAATGAAGTAGCTTCACAAAATTCTATGGAGGATCTATCTCAGGGATGTTTGAAGATACAGTGATTGGAGGCTGCTGCTGGAATGCATTTCCCACAGGTCAAGTCAGCTTGCACTGGCAGGCAGAGTGGTCAGAGCTGTGGAGAACAAGAAGCCACATGGAGGCCACATTTCCTATAGGAAGGGCCCTGGTAAATTAGGTAAGGTGTTTTGGAGGCTTGAACTTAGAGCCAGTAATTAAAGCCTGGTCTGTGGGAAAATTTTGATTGCAGTTAGGCCAAGTCCTAAACAATACAACACTGGAAGACTTGGATTCAGGCGAGGACATGTGATTGTGGAAAATATTCTAGACCAACTATTGATGATAATAGTTGAAATTTAAGGCACATAAGGACTCATCTATACCAAGGTTGTGCATCTCTTTTACAAAGTAAATCCTAACTTTAAAGGAAGAAATTAGTTTGACTATTATTTGAACAGATGTATTTCCAAGGAAGAAACATGCTCAAGTTTTGTTCTATTTTTTCAGTTACATTTAAAGACATCCTACCTGCTAAATTTGTGCACAGATACCAATGAGAACAAAATGCTCTTAATTTTTGTCAGTACCATTATAACTTATAAATACTTCACAACTTTTAGCTTTTTAAAGATTTATTTTTGTTTATTTATGTATATAAGAACTGGAGTGTTGGCCAGAGATTTAGGGGATGAGAAGATTCACCAGAGACAGAGTGGGGAGCAGAACAGACAGATCTACTGAAATCCACTGCTGAGGGGAGAGTGGGGAGACAGGAGAGGTCTGCTGCGCCATGTGGGTCTGCTCCCTGGCTGAGGCTCTAACTGGTGCTGCAGTGGCTGCAGATAGCTTCACAGTGCTGTGCTTTTAGCCCATTGCACCGCCAGGGAGAGCCCCCTCTGTTTTTCAATTTTGTTTGGATAGTTGAGGTTGCCAGATAATTGTCAAACCTGCAAAATCTTGATCTCAGCACTTAATAGAAAATTAAAAATAAAAAAAAAATCAACTCATGGCTAGACTCATCTGTTTCTGGATCATTTTTTCCCTTAGGTTTTTAAAACTTTTTGCTCTTTTTGTGTACCTTAGACTTTTAAAGATGAATTTGATATTGTTTCAATATTGAAAACATCTTAAAGTCTTTTTTAAAAAGAAAATTAAGTTGTTTCTGATCCTAATCTTTTTTTAGGTGAAATTCATATAGCAGAGAATTAACCATTAAGTAAACAATTTGGTGGCATTTAGTGCATTCACAATACCACCTCTGTGTAGTTCCAGACATTCTTATTACCCTAAAAGGAAACCCTATAACCATTAAACAGATGATCCTTGTTCCTCATCTCTCTCAGTTTATATACACCTGTCTACCTTTCTATCTTTTTTGGACTTAACGATTTTGGATATTTACTATAAATAAGTCATATAATTTGTGTCTGGCTTCTTTAGCATTTTTTTTAGGTTTATCCACATTGTAGTATCTATTTACTTCATTTCTTTCTTACTATTCCAGTGTATGTACATTCCACAGTTTGTTTATCTTTTGCATACTGATTGCTCCCACCTTTCAGCTAATGCTAATGGACTTGTATAGACATCCCTGTATGTATATTTGAGTACCTGTTTTTGTGTATATATTTGGAGTGGAATTGCTGGTCTGTAAATGTTCAGAATATTCTATTCATAAGTGATGGTTGGGTAGCAAATAGAAGAGAACATTCTTTCATTCAACCAATTCTACTGAATTTCTAGAAACTTCTTGGATATAAAAGAAGATGGACAGAATCTCAACCTTAGGACATTTCTTTACTCATAAAAAACTTGTAAGATGAAATAAATATTGAGGGCATATTTGTATTGCTAACTCTACACAGACGTTTTTTTCCTTTGAATGGCGAATACAAGTTAAAGAGATAGCATAGCTGTTACTATTTCTTGTTTTATTTTTTCCCTAAAGTTATCCAGTTTAATAGTCACTACCTTCTTGCAGCTGTTTAAGTCAATTAAAATGAAAAACGTTAAAAATAAAGTTCTTCTCTTGCCTTAGCCACACTGGGCCACTGTGTATAAATTTGCCTCCATTCTGTATGGTTGCTTTACGTTTGTATTTAGAGGCTGACTGGCGGAAAACTAGGCCAAATTCTGGGCGAGACGCCAAGATGGCCAGCACAAAGGGAAGTAGGAGAGGCCCTTGCTGTATGTCTTCTGGGCCTTTTAGAACAGACGCTCCTTTGGCCATATCCATGCAAATCTACAAGACGGGCGGCGTGGACATCCAGGGAATGGCCCACATGTTACCACGGGAAACCTAGAAGTGTCTGTAATGTCACCAATGTGCAGTGGCTTGGCTGTACATTGCCAAGAGGATTCATGTTGGTGTTGAGCATACTGAGCTCTCTAAGAGCCGAGACTCCTCCCTGGAGCATGTGAAGAAGATCATCAGGAAAAAAAAAAAAGGGAACGCCAAAGAGAACTGCTCTTGGGTTCTGCTGCAGTGCCCGCCGGCTCTCTCACAGGGGCACACTTTGTGAGAACCCACGGAAAGGAGACTGAGCTGCCGGGACCCACCCTGCGCAGTGATGGCCTGATGGGTGTGCACAAAGGAAACCTGGCTTAGTATAAAAACTGTATCTGGTGAACTTCTAGGGCCAAAAAAGAATGGTAGTTGCCCCTATCACTAGAGTTGATACTATAGGTATGTGGAATTTACTTACGGGAGCCAAATTTGAGAGTAGTGAAAAGTTGGATTAATTTCAGTCAGTAATCTATTAAGTGGAACCCCAGTTATGCTTATTAGAAAATATGAAATATGACAAACTTGGTATTGCAGCAAAGAAAAGCCAGGATTTTCAGCAGGTAGACTTGTGTAAAAACTGTGGCAGTCATTGCCATCTGCTGTCTGGGCCACGCTGCACTGTTTGGGGCAGAGTAAAAGAAATAGTAAGAGGAATTGACTTCACTTGTGTTTTCAGAATGACAAGTTGCTAGAGAGATACTGTGTGTTTTCCTTTCCAGGTGTCATTGTTGTCTGTTTCTGCAAAGGGGCAATAGAGGGTCCTGTCCTTGGATCCCAGCTTTGGGGTTAATACAGCTAAAGGGTGCAAGTCCTTTTGTGTATTTTGCCTCCTTCAGTGACTTTTCCTCTCTGCAGATCACTTACTTCAGCCTCTGGTACCACAATAAGCAAAACCAGCGCCGGTGGGTAGATTTGGAAAAGCCTCTAAAGAAGCAGCTGGACAAGCACGCGCTGGAGCCCACTGTCTATTTCGGGGTGGTGTTTTACGTGCCTTCAGTCTCGCAGCTGCAGCAGGAGATCACCAGGTGAGAGGGCCATGCTGCTTGTCCTTAGGAAACCATCTAGTGGGATTAAAAATGGGCAAGGAAGTTTCAAGGCGGGTGACTTGAAGACTGAACTCTGCCTTCCCTCCTCCCCTCTCCCTTGGAAGCCTGGGTGATCCCTCGGGGTGGCGCCTCTGCCATGCCAGTGTCATAGGAGTGATAAAAGGGAAGGTCGGGTCTCTCCCTGGCTGTGAACTGTTCTCTTAATGATGTCACCTTGATGGCTTTATTAATTTGTTTGTGATCCTTTGCAAGAATGAAATGAGGACAGATTTAAAAAAACAAGTTGCAAAAACCCAGTGTTCATTCCTTAAGGAAGATGGCAGAAGTGATCATTTGGCCCTGTGGGGCCAGGAGGTACATTCCGCAAACAAGGTGTGGAGGGTGAGGATGAGAGGCAGGAAGAGAGTTGGATCCCAGAGTTTTGGTCATCAAGTCCATGTAGGAAGGGATGACCATATTAAGGAGAAGCAGGAGAGCAGCAGGTTCATGTGTTTTATACCTTGAAGACTGACAGCAAATAGCAGGAGTAAACTTTAGTTCTTAAGCCTACTTTTCAGGGTCCTCCTAAGTCCACCACCAGTTCATCTTTGGCACCCTGTTCAACACTAGTTTTGACTACCAGAGACACCGTCTGGTGCCCACACATGCCACGCGCCTTTCATCCTAGCTCTTGCTCTCACAGCTAAGTGTTGAAATTTGGTCCATCTTCCAAATTTTCGCTTCAAAGGCACCTCCTCTAATAAGCCTCGCTGGCACCCAGGATGGATGGAATGAGCTCAGCTTTCTCTGGGCTGTCCTAGCATTTGCTTGAACTTCAGCTAGGATGGCAGCGTTTCTTTATAGCTACTCATGTGCATATTTTATCTTTGTCTTGTATGTTTAGCACATGTTTTCTCTCATTTTGCACAGTAGCTAACAGTGCCCTGTACAGAGGGAGACCCTAATACTGCCCTGTTTGTGTGGTGTTCCTTGTAAGCATTTTGGGGAGAGGGTGGAAGAAGCAGCCAGAAGCAGGCAATAAGGATAAACATGTACTGACCATAAAAGAAATCTGAGATAGAAATGTTGAAGGAGAAAAAACAACCCAACAAGTGACCACTTTGAGTCATTTAGTGAACATTTATTAAAGATTGAGTGATACGATCAAAACAGCATATTGGTCACTGGCAGATGAACGTACCAGTGAGAAGGCCTCAGTGCTGGCCTGCTCTGTCGGGGACTAGCAGTCTGTGTAAGTGAATCATCATAGCGTGCTATAATAATAAATGCTTTATTAGGGCCCTGGGCTGCTAGGGGTGGGGCTGAGGAACTTGGACAGGGAAGGTAAAGATGAGATTTTATAGGAAGAGAGAAGGGAACGGAGTGGAATGTGCCACTTCCACCTTACTGGACCAGTTTTAAGCCAAGTTTACCTGTATGTCCTTGATCTAGACCTTGATCTATACTATTTAGTAAATGTTGAGTTAAAACCTTTTTTTCCTGGTCATCTTTGAAGTAAATATTTGGATCATCTTTTCCTCCAGAAAAGCCTCAAAAAAAAAAAAAAAGTAAATATGTACTTGATTCCATGCAAGGATTTGGGGACAATACCATGAAAGATAATGCTAGCAAGCAGCCACTCACCTTTCTCCCGGTGTGGAGGGCATCCTCCTCAGTCCTTGCACTTATAGAATGATCTGACCCTCACAACCTGTCTGTGAAGTACAGGTATCACGCTCGCTTCTGTGGAGTCGGAAATGAGGCACAGAAAGGCTCCGTGACCTTTGCCCAGGCCTCGCTGCTGCTATGTGGCAGCACTGGGCTCTATACGCAGGCATGCGGCTCCTGTTTCCTTACTCTCAACCACTGTTCTATGGACTCCTCAATAGTCACTAAAGAATATGGGGGAAATACTAGAAAACTTTTTTTTTTTTAAAGATTTATTTATTTATTCATACAGAACTGGGGTACAGGCCAGAGATGTGGAGGGTGAGAGGCTTCACCAGAGACAGAGTGGGGAGCAGAACAGGCTGACTGACGAAGAACACTGCTGAGGGGAGCAGCGGGCGGGTCAGGAGAGGTCTGCCACACCATGTGGTCACCTCCGGGGCAGGCGGGGATCGAACTCATGCGGAAGCGGCTTTAACTTCTTAGTGTTGTGCTTTAACCCGCTGCGCCACCAGGGAGGGCCATACTAGAAAACTTTTAACTGGAAATTTGTGACAGTTGCTCTTCAGCCTCCCTCAGTGGAATTGAGAGAAGTACTTAATCTCTGAGCTCCAATTCCTAATCGGCTTCATCAGTGAAAGGCTGTTGTTAAATGGCTATAAAGCAGTTAAGAGTGCAACAAAAGGAAACCAGTATCTGACCTGCCTGGAATCCAGGGGGGTCATGGCAGCCAAGGAAAACTCTTATGGGCCCCATCATTTTTATTTTATTATTATTTTTAATTTAAGCTGCCTTGAAAAGCCTAAGTGGTTTTTTTTTTTTTTAAAGATTTATTTATTTTTTGCATACGACTGGGGTATTAAGCCAGAGGTGTGGGGATGAGAGGATTCATCAGTGACAGCATAGGGAGCAGATCTGCTGAAATCCACTCCTGAGGGGAGCAGCAGGTGAGACAGGAGAGGTCTGCTGCACTATGTGGGTCACCTCCCTGGCCAGGGATGGAACTCAGGCAGTTGCTGAAACTTAACCCCTATGCCACAAGGGAGGCCCCCATCATTCTTTATCTGATAAAAAGGAGCATGCCAATCTGCAAGCATGACACGTTTCTGGGTATTTTTATGGAAAAGATACTGAGCAGGCAATGAATTAGAATAAATGAAGAATCAACTCTAATAGTAAGAGTAGAATATAAAGAAAATTTCTGTGGAAGGCTTAAGTTAATGTGGTTTGTGTATGATGCTTTCCATTAATTTTTATCTGATTGAAGAAGAGAATGTAGAATATTTAGAATATGTGGAATGTAGAATATTTAGAATATTTAGAAAATGTTCAATAGATTGGTATCTCTGAGTAATTTTCTTCCAAGAGAAGAAAGGAACTGCCGAGTAGAAAGTTACAAGCTTTAGCAAGTTCCCAGCGCTACCACCATTCTCTATAGTGTCAAGGGAAAAGTGTGGTTCTGCTCTTAGGAGGTAGAAAGAAGTTGGATCTAAATTCTTACTTGAATCCATGGTGTTTTGGCCAGCTTCTGTGGAAACAAAGGATGGAGATCTGAAAGCCAGCTAAACTAAAAAAGGGGAATGTAAGAAATGAGCAGAGAGGTAGATTCTTTGGGGAATTCCAATATAAACGGTAGCTGGATGCACTTCAGACACGAAACCTGGAAGATATTCTGCATTTGAAGCGGTCCTGTAGATAGCTGGCCCGTCTTCCTTCAGTGCCTCACCCCTAGCAGCCTGAACAGTGCTTAACCCCTACGAGGCCCTCATGGTTCCCTGTTGAGTGAATAACTACCAGAAAGGCAGTAACAAATAACTCTTCAATGTGAGCTTTAGCAAATGGAGAAGTGATACAAATGAACTGTTGATTAGCTTAAAGTATGTTATTACTGATAATAATAATAGCTTCTGTTTACCGAATAATTGAATGCTATGTTCAGCATTGTGCCTAGAGCTTTTAGTATATATTCCTTGAGTATGTTCAGTCTTGTGAGATGATAGTACTGTCCTTTTCCTGGTGATAATTTAACACCACCTCCCCCCCCCCATTATGATGACCTTTAAAGGTCATGCACAATTCTTAATTGGAAAGCAAGATTTTTGTTTAGGTCTCCCGACTAAAATTTGTGCTGGTAACTAGTGCCTTTATAGTGAAAGTGTAAATCGAAGTAATCCCACATTACAGAATGTTCAGGAAAAAATTAGGACCTATTACTTATGGGATTTCATCAGTAAACACTTTAATGTAAGCCTGAAATATCAGAAATTATTTTCTTCTGACTACTTCCCAGCTGTAGGGAATTCCCATCAGAGTAAGCAGCCTTGTATTGCCAAGTTGCTAGGCAGATGTTTTAAAGATTGGCTATTGATTCTCCATTTCTCCAACTGAAAGAATAAAACTGAGGAATGGCCTTACAGGGCATAAAACAGAGGATCGATCGTTTTCTAGATGGTTTTAACTTTGTAATAACTACAGTCAGGGTTAAGTGCCTCAGTTAATCAATCAAATTGTGTGTTTAAAAAAAAACCGCATATGTGTGTGTGTAGAGGCATGTGTAGGGGTGTGGAGGTGTCGATATGGAGAAGGACATTCTTGTCATTCTCTGAAATCCTCTGAGTTTCAGATTGTATTTGACTTAATTTCTGTTCTATCAAATTTTGATGAATTTTAAATGCATTCTGTCTCAACTGGAGGTAATATAGATAATGACGTTTTTAAGTTGACATTTTTTACAGGTATCAGTATTATCTGCAGCTGAAGAAAGATATCTTGGAAGGCAACATTCCTTGTACCTTAGAACAAGGAATACACCTAGCAGGCTTAGCTGTTCAAGGTAAATAAATGGCCACTGATAATGTAAAATAGATCAGCTTAAGATGGGTGTTATAGCCAAAACAAGGGAGCCTTAAAGTTACTGACTTATTAATCTTCAGATAGTAATGAAATATTATTGTTATTTATGGATCTTCCTTGTGAGAAAATATATGAATTACTTCATGAAATATGAGACTTCCTGACGGCTAAACATGTAACCATGTCGTCAGAGCATAGAGTCCAAAAACTGGGGAAAACACACACACACCATTGAATGTTCTACGTATTCCTCTGGTTCAAAGACTTGATCTTTTGCTCGGCCGAATAATGAGGTTGGTGAGGTTGTGTTAACTGATATTTTAAGCATACATAACTTGCTGCGCTTCTTATTTTTTCCTTTTTTATTGCGGTAATGTAGGTGTGCAACACTCTGTGACTCAGAGGTGTAGGCCCATGTGTCTTTCGATGTGTTATCATACCACACCCTTCAAGCTGCAGTTTTCCTGGGTTATAGAGCATCATTAACCATAATAAAGTGTTGCATTTCACAAGTAGTTGCATATTTTCATTTTTCACGTCTGTATGTGTTTACAGGCATTACATGCAGACGTATTTACATAGGCACTTTGGGATGACTTCTGATGGGGCATTCTTTCAAATGATACCTGAAATATAGTCTTTGCATTGAAATAATTTAATCAGAAAGATTACTGAATACATTTCCTTCAGATTTTGGCAGCCATGGGGACACAGCATTTCTTGACAAATGCTGTTTACACATGGAACTGTCTTTCTTTTCCAAGGATTTTGGATCTTCTTAAGTGTCATCTTTGAACTTAAGGGATGACTTTTCATAAATTTATGACTTAGCTATTTATTTATTTTAGCAGTTTAAGATTTCAAAACAAATACGTTTTGTAGTGACATAGTCAGATGACCTGATTCCCCAGGATAATCCCTGTTGTGAAAAGTTGGATTTCTTCCTGACATTGTCCTGTGCATATATGACCATAGGGTGGGGTTTGTTTGTTTTTAATTCTAAAATGAGGTCATATTATATAGTTTGCAAGTTGCTTTTTTACTTTATTCATGGGCATGGATAAGATATACTTAATGCATGTTTTTAAAGATATTTTAAAAAACACTAGTTGTAAGGCAACTATGACTTCTGAATCACTCATTCCATCTATATACTGCCCGTTTGAATTTAGTTGTATGTGTGTTTTGTCATGCAAATTAACCATAACCAATATGAATATTTATCTATAGCTGATTTTGGTGACTTTGACCAGTATGAATCCCAGGACTTCCTTCAGAAATTTGCCTTGTTTCCTGTGGTAAGACTTCTTTTCACATTGGATCTTTTTTGTTAGCAGTTTATACCTGTGCCCTTTACAGTCCCCTAAATGAAGCTCACAAGGTTGTCTTGCTAGGGTGCTGTGCACTCGAGTATGAATGCTTCCTCAGTCTTTATCTCTTGGTCCTCCGTGAACCTGCAGAAACGGAAAGATCTGTGCCACAGGGCTACATCCCGGGATGTGGGTTTTGCTCTGCATTTGAATCTGAAGGGAGGGATTCATTTCTGCCTTCTGAGGATCCCGTCTGAGGTTTTGCTTTTAATGGACGGTTTGAAATGTTTCAAACTTATGTTTAAATGAATTGGCTTCTCATTAGCAATTAAGAAGTTGAAATATGACCTGAGCTTTCTCTCAAAGTCTCTTCTGAAGAAGTTGGCAGTAACCGCTGTGGGGAGTGGCAACCCTCCCTCTGCGTGTCCACCAGCTCAAGGGTCGGTGCGCTGCGCTCAGAACTGGCTGGTTAGTGTGACCCACTTGAGCCCTAGCAGAGGGCCTCAGTTCTCTAGAAAGAGCGCAGTTGCTGTTTAAGTGAAACTCCCACCTGTGAGCACAAGTGCTGAGTTTGCCCCATAGTGGTAAGAGCCAGTAACAAGCAGGCGTAAAGCTTCTTCCTAAGAAGCTTTACTTTCACTGACTGTGGTGTGCTCTCTTCAGAGGTGGTTACAAGATGACAAAGTATTGGAAGAAGCAACCCAAAAGGTGGCTTTACTTCATCAGAAATACAGGTAAGGCTAAGACATAAGACATGGAAATTGTATAGAACTACTGTCGTTTGAATTTGGGATCTGTGTGGGCATAATTAAAATGGGAACATTGCAGGGCAGCTGGCATTTCCCCAGCACTCACTGTGTGCCAGGCGCTGTCCTGACCATCTGTCCAGATCGTCATATATTGTCCATGTATCCAGTGGGAAAGTTGAAAGCAGCCAGCCACTGAAGTTGAAAGCAGCCAGTGCCCGCTCCTCACCCCATGTGCAGGTTGACGCAAGATTAGGGGAGCTGTGTTTTTTGTGGTCTGGCAAGTGCAGGGCTCTCCCCTGCCCCCAGCCTTCCTGGCCCTCAGGAACGGCACCTGCGCCCTGGGGAAGCTGCGCTGAGAGCCAGGGTGCCCCTCATCCTGCCCTGCTTCTGCAGACCTCCGGGTTCTGGTGGGAGTTGCCTTTCTTTGCTGGTGAATCTGTATGTGTTGTCTGTAAGAAAAAGCCTGTCCTAGAGAATGGTAGGTCTCATTAAGCCGAACAGCTCTAAGAATTTTGTATATCATTAAGTTCTTATAACCACTCTTTAAGGTAGGTGTTATTACCTTCTTAGAGATCGGGAGAACCAGTTTCAAAAAGACTAACTTGTTCAAATTACCCCTTGTAGAGGTAGAGTTTGATCCCGGGTCTGTCTAATTATAAACTCTTATTAACTCCCCCCCCCATCCCCATTGAAAATAACCATTTGCCTTTCTTTGCCTGTCCCCATTGAAATCCATAGTCCCTCACAGGTTACTCTTCCTGAAATTATTGCTCTGGTCTCCCCATGTCCTTCTCAGATGCTCATGATTCTTTCCTTGTCTCCACCAGCCTGAGTTCCATTATTATCACCCCTGGGACTAAAGGCTTCCCCAACTTGGTTAAATCGGCCTCTCTAGCTTGTCTTCCGCTGTCCCAAATGAACCATTATTTCCCAGCACAGTTAACCCTGTACACACTGCCCGTATCTGGTACTTTTCTTTCCTTCCTTAAAGGATGGTTTCCTGCTGTTGCTCTGCGCAGGCAGGCCGAGTGCTGGGCGCTGTGGCACAGGCATAAACAAAGCAGTAAGAGCGCACACTCTGTCCTCCCGCCCAAGGAGTAGGCAGGACAGCCCCCTAACAGCACATCAGGGCTGCATAGTTTGGGGGTGGCGGGGGAGCACTCACAGTGTGGGGTGGAACGTGGTACATTTGCAGAAGGAGCATCTGGAAGACTTGGGGATCACAGATAGTAACAAAGGAGGCAGCAGACGTAGAGAAACTGGGGCTGGCCAGGTGCACAGGTGGTTGACAGGTCTGTGCAGATTGGCATCTGCAGAGGCCCAGAGGTAGGAGGGAAGACAGAATTTGGAATGCAGTGTGGGGGCTGCCAGGGTGGGGCAGCGGGGGCGAGGCGGAGAGGCCAGGCTCCATGTGGGTTGAGCCCTGCTTCTCCACTGGCTGTCCCACCCCACCTCGTAATCCCCTCCCCAGCGTGCAGGCTGACTTTCTTCTAGCCCTTATTTCCAGCCCTTGTCACTTGGCATTTACCACATGACGCTTGGTCTTGCCTGATTGCTTGGGACGGGAGCAGTTACTTGGTAGTTCAGAGGGAACCCCACTCACACTGATGAGCTTTGAGGGCTGGTTTCATTCCCCACGTCCCCTTGCCTGCCTGAGGTACAGGGCCAGGGTCTTACCTAACCAGCCCTCAGTGTCCAGCGCAATGTTTGCCTCCAGTTGATTATCAGAAAATACCGATGGATTGAAGTGACCAGCTGTGGGTGATAGGAAATTGAAATGTTTCTGCTGTCTGCTGGCACACTGGTAATAGGGGTTTTTAGAAGAACTGTCTGGCCCAGTTTCTATGAACGGTCTCATGAAGCTGTCTCGGTTGCAGAGGGCTCGCCGCTCCTGACGCCGAGATGCTGTACATGCAGGAGGTGGAGCGGATGGATGGCTACGGAGAGGAGAGCTACCCCGCCAAGGTGGGCCGGCGTTGAGGCGGGGCATCGAGGCGGGCTCAGTGCTTGAGGAGTGGTGGGGGCTCTGGGTGCAGGGTCTGCAGATGTGCCAGTGTCTGGTAACTTAAAGCCAGAGACCTTAGGACTAGAATCTTGTAGTAGAAAACATGTTCCTATTTTGCAGATGGTTCCACAATGCACAAATAGCGTCTTAAGCAGCCCGACTCTGTTTCCACACATGTTCAAAATGTGTACTTGAACCTTGCAGACTTGCCCCTTGGCAACCTGCAGGTCTTGGGAGTGGCTAATATTTGGGAAATGCGTCTAGGGAACTGGGGAGGGGCCACGGCGGCTGTGCTGTCCTGGGCCTACGTCTCTGCTTTCTCTTTAGGATAGCCAAGGCAGTGACATATCCATCGGGGCATGTCTGGATGGGATCTTTGTGAAGCACAAGAATGGAAGGCCTCCTGTGATATTTAGGTATTTCCCTCCCGTCTTTCTGTGCACCGTTTCGGGCTCTGGCTGGTGATCATTTTTTAGCTCCTATTTAGTATGTACTTGCAAGGATCTTGCCAAGGATCTCATTGGGCATGGATGTACGCCCCATCTAGAATAAAGTAGACACCTGCGTGCAGTGATTCTTTGTGTAGACAACTTTCTTCAAAACCAAGCATACAGAAAGTAGTGCTTTGAATGATCGCCTGTGTATAAGGGGCTTAAAACGTGTGCTCCTTTTCTTTCTGTATGGTGGCTGTCTTTGTTTTTATGTCAGCATTTCCCGTGAGCTCTGGCTATTTCTTTTGGGAACACTGAGGCTTTTCTCTAACTCTAGTTAATGTACTGAAATACCAACATCTAAGCAATTTTCAATGACAATTATAGTGTTAATTTTCCTCCCCGATCCCCATTATGAAGACATGATGTTATATACAGTGAGACAGAAAGGACAGTCACGTGAGGTCATGGTGGCCTGCTCTGAATAATGCAGTTGCACTATTCAGTATTTTATGTTCAAATAGCTTCTTTTTTTCCACTTACCCCCCCCACTTAAAAAATATACCCCCAACACCCTCAACCCCTACTAATCAAGATTTCTACCATCCCTATGTTTCTAGTTTTTTCTTTGTAAGACTTTTTTCTCCAGGTTGATACATCTCCTCTTATTACATTCTTTGCTTTACTGTCTTTGGGCCACGGTGATTGGGGAGTGTCCTTGGAGAATGTGCACACCTTGGGGCGAAACCCCATGTTTCTGTCTGTGCGTTGGGCCAGCAGCTCCCCTCTGGCAGGCGTTCTCATGCCCCAGATGACTCCTGCTGTCTCACCTTGCTGAGTTGGGGGGGCACGAGGCAGAAGATGGAGCTGGACTGTACCCAAAGGCCTGTGCTCTGACAGCCAAGGCCCGGTGTGGAGACGGGAGCCATTACACCTGCTTCCTGCGTCTCACTGGAGAGGAATTGTTTTAACTTGCTTTTTTAATTTGATGCTAATAATTGTTGACTTTTACAATTGAACAGTGAATCATCAGAAACTAATTTTATTTATATTTTAATATAATTTCAGTTAAATTAATCTAATGTGGGACACAGGAAGAAAATGTTTTTTTTCTTCTGGACCTATTTTTCCCTCTTATAAAGCTATAGTAAACAAACTATGTAATAAATATAATAAAATACTGTGTGTGATGACATAGTAATGCATACACTCTCAGTATGGTGAAGTACAGCTAGAGAGTACAAGGTCTAAGTGCTGGTGAACTCAACCTGCGTAGTTCTCTCTTTGGGTTCCGAGCATTTGCCCTTCATTTTCACCCTGGGCTTTGGTCCCTATTTTTTTTTTTTTAAGATTTATTTATTTATGCATACAGAGCTGGGGTACAGGCCAGAGGGGCAGGGGCGGTGAGAGAATTCACCAGACACAGAGTGGGGAGCAGAACAGGCAGATGGATGAAGTACACTGCTGAGGGGAGCAGCGGGCGGGTCAGGAGAGATCTGCTGCGCCATGTGGTCACCTCTGGGGCAGGCGGGGATCGAACTTACGCTGAAGAGGCCTTAGCTTCTCAGTGCTGCGCTTTAACCCGCTGCGCCACCAGGGAGGGTCCTGGTCCCTATTTTATTAATTTAATTAACTGATTACTTTTGTCCACTCTGTGCCTTGTTTGACCTGAAAAACACAGTGTTACTTGTTTGCTTCTGTCTCTGCCACCGTCCAGCGGTGGTGCTTCATTGAGGGAAGCCAGTGTCTGACTGACCTTAGCCCGCTTAGGGCCTGACACCTGCCAACACTGATAGCGGGAGTCCTACACTGTGTGTTGAATGACCAAAGGCCCATGGACAATCAGCTACGCTAGGGCCTTTGTGCAAAACCAGTGGGTGAGGGTGAGAGCCACATTCTCCCGCACTCCCGTGGCTCTCACTCAGTGCGTGTGCTTGTCACTTCAGCTGGAAAATGCCCATTAGCTCATTGAGACACCATTTTTATTTTCAAAAACGATTAACAAATAATGCCAGTGGGAAAACGACACGTGCAGCCCCTGTGTGAAGGGAGCCCTCACGCCGACCGTCCCTCCTGCTCTTCACAGGTGGCACGACATCGCCAACATGTCCCACAACAAGTGCTTTCTCGCACTGGAGCTGGCCAGTAAGGAAGAGACCATCCAGTTCCAAACCGTGAGTAGACGCTGGGAACCTGTGTGCAAGCTTTTCTCCCCACTGAGCCTTCCAGGGTGTGCGTGTGTGAGTGGGGGGGGGGGGCATGCGAGCCGCACTAGTTCACAGCTTGGAGGATGGAAAATTTTATGATTTTTACATCATTTTGCACAATAGCGCTTGGCCAATAGTGGTTGCTCAGTAAATAATTTCAAATGAATGAATGAGTCCTTGGGTAAATATTTTGTATGGTCTCGATGACCTCTCCGGGGCTGGGGGGTGGAGGGGGTGGGAGGTGGAGTCAGCATTGGGTTCCTTAATTTCATGAAGGCGCAACTGGCTCTGTGGATTATTTCAGTTACTTTTTTTGCTCTTGACAAAGGCAATACTGAGTTATTGAGTTAACTGTCTTACTTGAAAATATCTGCGTTTTGGTCCGTAATAGAAGTTGTTTGTAAATTTTTTGAATTTTTGTCATTTGGAAGCTTTGAGAATCATATTTATTTTATCTTTACAACTTGAATCCCAAATACAGCACTTGTCTGATGGGCTCAGTCTTAGAAAGCTGAAGCATCACAGAGCATTATTCTCTCTGACATAATTTATGAGTCCATTGTGTCTCCTCAAAATAAGCATTGAAAGTGTTGAGTTGTAGGTGTGCTTCACTCGTTTTGTGCACTTTTCGTTTGCTAGGAGGACATGGAAACGGCAAAATACGTATGGAGACTCTGTGTGGCACGACACAAGTTTTACAGACTGAATCAGTGTAGCCTGTAAGTACCTCCTGCTCATGGAAACTGTAGAAAGTGATGGGTTTAGCAGTTTTCCTCTTGAGCTTCAGGTCACCTGGAAAGGTAAATGTTGTGAAAACAATCATAATGACACTTTCGTACTAATCTCTGCTTTTGTTGCACGTTAAAATGACATTTCTTAGTCTTTTCCATGTAAGCTTGAATCAGCCTCTAGTAACTGTAGGTATGTCTCTAATATATATATATTTTTAAGATTTATTTATGCTTACAGAACTGGGGTACAGGCCAGAGGTGTGGGGGTGGAGGGTGAGAGGATTCACCAGGCATAGAGCAGGGAGCAGAACAGGCAGGTTGAGTGAAATCCACTGCTGAGGGGAGCAGCCAGTGAGACAGGAGAGGTCTGCCACACCTTGTGGGTCACCTCCCTGTCGGGGGATTGAACTTGTGTTGCAGTGGCTTTGGATACCTTCATAGTGCTTTAACCCATTGTGCCACCAGGGAGGGCTCTCTAAGATGTCTTTCAGCTAATTGCTAGAGTTATTCTGATTCTTGAAAGTTAAAAAGAGAATGCCCCTTAAATTATTATTATTATTATTATTATTATTATTGTTGTTGTTGTTGTTGTTGTTGTTGTTATTATTTTAAAGATTTACTTATTTATGCATCTAATGACTGGGGTAGAGGCCAGAGGTGCGGGGGTGAGACGCTTCACCAGAGATAGTGAGGACCAGAATGAGCAGATTCACTGAAATACACTGCTGAGGGGAGCAGCGGGGGAGACAGATGTCTTCTGTGCCATGTGGGTCAGCTCCCTGGCCAGGGATCAAACTCATGCTGCCATGGCTGTGGAGAGCCTCATAGTGCTGCACTTTAACCCCTTATGCCACCAGGGAGGGTCCATTAGGTTTTTAGTCAGTGCCCTGGTTGGCATTTCTGAATAAAGATTGCTCAGTTTTTCAAGTCACTTGAAGCTTTTATTCCTCATTTCACAATGTACATTTTATACAAATATGCTGTGATATTTCATATTTGAAATGCTTTCCTCTTCTCCCGTGCCTGCTAACTCTCCTTGGAAACAGATTTCTTGAAAGAAGTCATCCAGACTTTCTTCCCTCCTTCCTTCCACTGGCCCCGCCTCCCCCAGTGAGAGTGACCTGTGTGGCCGTTCTTATACTGGACAGCTCAGTGGCAGTTAACCATGCCCTGCCCCTTCGGTCCTGCACCCTGCTCCTCCCTGGCTACCCAGACACTGTCCTACCCTGCTTCCCCCTGCTAGGCTGTTTGGTCTCAGTCACCTTTACTGGCTAATCCTCTTCCGCAGCTACACTCCTGCTCTGTGGCGGGCCTGGCTTAGACTTAAGAATAGCGTGTGTGCCCTGCAGGTGCCTCAGGCTTGAGTTCCAGTCCTGTTTCATCCCCACTCCTCCTGTCTCCTGACATCTCCTCTAGGGTACCTAAGGGGCGTCTTTCATTGGATGTGTGTAAAACCAAACTCTTGATTTTCTGTCCCTCTTTCCCCAAATCCGCTTCCCCTCTTCTCGCATTAGCAGTACACTGTCTTCAGCCGACTGTCCAGACCCGGGCCTCAGAGTCCCACTTGATTCCTGTTTCTCTTTTGTGCCACGTCCAATGCAGTCAGCTCTGCCTTTAAGATATCTGAGATGATCATTTTTACCACTGCCTCAGCTAACAGCCTAGCGGCAGCTGCCAGAGGTCCTCATTTGCAGAAGCCAGTTATTAAGAGTCCCAACTTGGGGGCCTGGATGTTCTGGAAGCCCTTAGGAGAAGGGTTCTTAACCCAGCACCTGGATTGGGGAATGTTTTGCAGCAAAATGACATCTAAAGCAAGACTGGGTTTCACTCCCTCCTCACAACTGAGCTTTAATCTGTCCCCTGTCTGGCCCATTGCAGGCCCCCCCTCTGGTCTCACCTACCCCACCTTACCTGTTCCCAGCCTGGCCTCAGGGTGACCAGAATATGTAGCCCTCAGAGTCCCAGTGCAGCGCCGGAGGGATTAGGGGCAGCCTCTGACTCAGGCCCTCAGTCCATCCGGTGCCGGTGCTCCTCAGCGCTCCGTCCTCCCCTGGAAAGCCCCCTCCCCTTCTCTGCCGGTTGTCATTCCCTAAGGGCCAGTTTAGATGCGGCCGCCAGGGTCCCATCACACATTTAGTTGCGTATCCTCTGTACACTCGAAGCTCTGGCCTTTTCCTACCCCCTTTCATAACTGTGCTTCTACTTGGTAATTGCTTATTCTGTGTTCAGCAGTATGCAGAGAGCTTAGATCTACTTAGGGATGTCACTGTCCAAGTGTGTGGAGACTCCAGGAAGTGGGGTGTTGTGCCCCTGCCAGATGGCTGGTGCTCTCAGCCACTGCAAAGGCCGGTTAGAGCAGCGGGCCTGCTCCCTGGTGTGGATCTCATTTGCCTGTGTTACATGATGGAGCTCGGCAAGGCAGGGCCCCCCTCCAGCTGCCTGGGGTGTGTGTGGAACTGAAGTCTTCTCTGCTTGCCAGAACCTCTCTGGAGCTCTGGTAGAGGTGTATATGAAGGTGAGCCCCCTGCTGGCCGGAGTGAGTGGTGCTGCTGGTCCAGAGTAATTGCTCTCTGGGCTGGTCTGGTTACCTACGTGTGTGTACTGGGACATAACCTTAAGTTCAAATCTTCCATAAGTTTAAGAACACTTATAGTACTGAGCCATTTTACCTTAGTTCAATCCTAGGGAGAATCAATTGGTTTGCGTAAACCCTAAGCCAGTCACCATACTGGTTGGTGATGAATGTCTTTAGTTCAGAGATATTTTTTGGCACTGTCAAAGATTTGAAAGTTCAGAGGGAAAAGAAATAGCAAATCCAGTCTTAAAGATTTAATTTTTTTATTCTGGCTGTTTATTACCAAATATAAATAAACCCCATTAACATGGTCTTTAGTATTCATATATTATTTACATCTGTATAAGGAAAATATGCATGCTTGTTAAAAGGAAATAATTATGCTTAAGGAGATATTTTCTATATTTTACTTATGGTCTGTTTTAATCTATATGTTGTAGATTATGAAAGATCCTTTCTGTGAATGATTCTTACGTACTTACCCATTCATTCTGTGGTAAATAAATTTGTTTCATGTGAACACTTATTCACCAGATAAATTCTTAGCTGTCAGTATTTTGATGGGTAATAAAACTAAAAGTAACCTTTAAGTTTTATATTTATTTATTTTAAAGCTCTCAACTGTTGAGTCATACTTAATATTACAGTGATTTTAAAGTATTGGGAGGCCAGTTCTCATGGTCCAGATGGGTAGGCACAAGCATTTCTTAAACTGCAGGCCTGGGGCTGGACGGTGAGTTCTGGTTCAGGCCGAGCTGCCGCTGGCTCAGGAGATGGATTCTCTGAGCAGAGACGGGGGGTTTTACCCCTGGAGCATCCCCTTCCCTGCCCCTCAGCCCCAGTATGAGACACAGTGGTGTTTGCATGGCCTTCTGTGAGTCACGTGGCCCTGACCCAGATGCCTGTGGATCTGAATTTATACAATGACATGACCCATCCATCCCTTCCCCCCCCCCCTTAATCTCGCCCCCTCCCCCAGGTCTTTAGGTGGCAGTCATTTTTTTATGTTGCTGGATGTTAGATGCCACAAATACTAGATAGATAACAAAATTATTTCCTTTTAAATTTATCAAATGGGGATGATGGGGCCTTTATGAAACATTCCTTTAGGGTTGAATTTTAGGAATTAAGTGAGGGAAAAAAGGAAATGTTCAACTTGTCAAAAAGTTTCTTTCAGTTTCCTCTCCCCAACCCAAGCCCTGATCATTATCCTATAATTAGCCTCCACCATTTTTATGAAAAGAGACTGGGAGAGACAAGGAATGAGGGCTCTTGAGGTGGGAGCCTTTCTCTCCTCTCTCGTGTGGGGATGAGAAACACACAGTCCCCCCAGCCCTAAATTGCAGAGTCAAGCTCTGGATCTGAACAGGCTTGATCTCTAGCAGGTGTGTGCTAAGCACAAGCTTCCTGCAGGTTAGGGCCATCAGTTAATGTCCACTTCTGTCTGGAGACTTGTGTGGTCTGGACACTGATGGAGCTGGCCCAGCCTGGGAGGCGATGAGCCTGTCCTATCTTCTAGGCCCAGTTTTGAAGAGACTTAGGCCTGGAAGGAGGTAGAGTAAACCCTAGTAGTCCATTAGAGGAAAGTCACTGAAACCAGCATTTTCTAGGCATTTCCACCATCCAACATATGTCTTCTTCATCCAAATCTTGTTTCCTTTGCTAGCCATTGATACATAAGAAAGGAGGCTCACAAAGCAAAATTAAATCCACTCTTCGAAAAACGTACTCAGCTGTGAATGTTCAGTAATAAACATTGACACTCGGTGCCCACTCACTATACCATTCATCTGCTCAACACTGGGGCGTTAGTGCCCTGTGTGCCTGGCACGGTGACACCATGGCATGCTGCTTCCATGGCGCTTGCAAATTATGTGGGGTCAGGGGTTGGGGAGGGGATCAGACAAGTAGTCAATTAGGAACCTGAGCTCAGGAACCAGACCTGCCTGGTTCAAATGCCAGTTCTGCTACTTATCTCCCATGTGACCAGGAGCAATTTACTTAATCTAAGTATCACTTTCTTCATCTGTAAAATCAGGATAATTACCAGCTTCTTTAATGGGGTGGGTGCTTGGATTCCGTGAGGTGACCACATACAGCCCCCTGAGCACTGTTTCATTCGGTAGCATCGCTTTTATTTTGTCTTTCCAGTGTTCAAATTCCAGGTTTTTTCCCCTCTAAAAAATTCTTGAGCTGTCTTATTCTTAGCAGTACCCATTGGCATAGTCATGGCCCCTGATTTCTGGAAAATACAACTAACACGCACACCCTTGTCGCCAGTGTGTGCCGCGGGGATCTCTCATCTCACAGTGAATTATGTTAAGAGATCTGAGAGGTGGTCTGAAGACTGGCCTGGGGCTTGGCCTGCCTACAGAGGGGTCTGGCAGGTGGAGACCACTGTGGTGGGCGTTTAGCAGGACGCGGCCCTGGCGTGATGCGGTGTGCATCACGCTGCCAAGTGGAGCTGGCTGTGGGCGTTGTTGAGGCTCAGGTCTTTGCAGTTGCTGCTTGACACACTCTAGTTTTATTTTTGCTGCAGGCTGGGCAACTCTGGGCATGTTGTTGGAGGACTCTCAGCAGCCCTTTCTCCCCATTCCTGAATTTTGAGTTTACAGTGCTTTAATAGTATAGTCCATTCAGACAGTGAGTCTCTGATGGTCTAAATATAAACTTCAAAGGACCCAGCTGGCCTACTGCTGGCCTGGCAATGGAGCATAAGCAAAGGCAGAGTCAAAAATGGCATCTGCCCTATTCTCGACACTGATTTTAAGGTATATAGTAACATGTAGGATTATGAAAAAGGAAAAAGCCCAGATGCCCCATCCTGGCTGGATTCACTAAGGAGGCCCCAGCGACCTGAGTGCTGACCCTTTGATTCAGGGATTTTTGCAACCGAATAGAATTAACCCCCATTTTATTGTCAATGACTAACAGATCCTGGCAGAATGGAACAGCTCTTGGCAAAGAGACATCTAATCTTCTCAACAACTTTAATTTATTCCAATGAGGATGAAATAAAATGATTGAAACATTTAATTTAAAAAGTTAACTTTGGCCCCTCCCTGGTGGCACAGTGGGTTAGAGCACAACACTAAGAAGCTAAAGCCACTTCAGCATGAGTACAATCCCCAGCCTCAGAGGCGACCCACATGGCACTGCAGACCTCTCCTTATCCACTGCTGCTCCCCTCAGCAGTGTACTTAATCAGTCGGCCTGTTCTCCTTCCTACTCTGTCTCTGGTGAGTCCTCTCACCCCCTGCATCTCTGGCTTGTACCCCAGCTCTGTATGCATAAATAAACAAATCTTTTTTTTTTTTTAAGATTTATTTATTTATTCATACAGAACTGGAGTATAGGCCAGAGATGCAGAGGGTGAGAGGATTCACCAGTGACAGAGTGGGGAGCAGAACAGGCAGATCGACGAAGTACACTGCTGAGGGGAGCAGCGGGCAGGTCAGGAGAGGTCTGCTGCGCCATGTGGTCATCACCGGGGCAGGCGGGGATCGAACTCATGCAGAAGTGACTTAAGCTTCTTAGTGCTGTACTTTAACCCGCTGCGCCACCAGGGAGGGCCCTAAATAAACAAATCTTTAAAAAATAAATAAAAAGTAAAAAGTTAACTTATAAAAGCAATTGTGGTTGTTTGATGTTAAGTTCCTAAGAAGTATGGTTTTCTGTCAAAGGTCTTGTGAAAATAAACTAGTATTCAGGATTTGCAAATAAAGGAATAGTTGTTAGAGTGCTAAGAGGAATGCTAATTTATGAGATGTGAGACTTGATAGTTATGGTAGATTTTCTGATTAACTGGATCATGTGTTCACTTTGTGATTATGGATTTTATAGTAATTAGTTCTTAGAAGATTGTAACCAAAGGTCAAAAACATTTTTAAAATAGATTTTTAAATTTGTATTTATTTTTGCACAGAAGAACTGGTTTCTAGGCTAGAGCTGTCAGGGTTGAGAAGATTCACCAGAGACAGAGTGTGGAGCAGAACAGGCAGATCAACTGAAAGACACTGCTGAGTGGAGCAGCGGGTGGGTCAGGAGAGGTCCACCATGCCCTGTGGGTCAGCTCCCTGGCCTGGATCGAACTCCAGCAGCAGTGGCTGTGGATGGCTTCATAGTACTGCACTTTAACCCTGGTACTAGCAAGGGCCCATTCCTAGCTGCGTGCACGCTGCTGTGATTCCTGTATAGCTCTCTTCCACCCCGCCCTGTGCCTGTGTGCCCAAGGTGTACCTTTGCAGTGGTGGAGCTAGGATTTAACCCCTAGGCCAGGGAGCACCAGGTCACAAAACATTTTTGTAGCCAGTGTTTAGGTTCACATACTCATGAACCTGGAGCAGATGTTGGAAGGTACTTGAAAGGAGCGCTCTGGGGCCTCCCTGGTGGTGCAGGGGTTACGACTCAGCACTACCAAGCTCTCTGCAGCCACTGCAGCACAAGTTCCATCCCCAGGCAGAGAGCTGATTACTGGCGCAGCAGGCTTCTCTTGTCTCCCCCCTGCTCCCCTCAGCAGTGTACTTCAGTAGACCCATCTGCTCTGCTCCCTACTCTATCTCTGGTGAATCCTCTCACCCCGACACCTGGCCTATCCCCCAGTTCTTATATGCACAAATAAATTGAGTAACTCTTTTAAAATCAGAGTGCTCTGCACAACTACATAAGTTATCACAAAACCAAGAGTCCCTGTTTGCATGAAGCTGACTATACACAAGAACCAAGAAAATCTTACTGTTTAAAATGCATTATAATTAAAAACAGATTTTTCAGCTTCTTGTTCCTCTTTAGCCTACTGTTTTATTCAGTAACAGAACTTGCTCTGAATCATAATGTCATTCTTTAATATTCTCACTGTTTCCCAAAAAATATATTTAAAACGGACTACAGAGCATCTCAAGAAAAAAGTAAATGGGTTTCTTAGTAATATTCTTATTTCTTCATTATGTTTGTACTCTGTGACTGATAAGTACAGACTCTTATGTTACCAAAGTTGGAAAGCTTGTTTCTTCATTGTGTCTGTAGTCTAGCTACCTAAAGGCAGGTCCCCTTGCTTCAGGCTTCTGGGCTATCACTTGATGGCCCCCTTCACACTGTCTGTGGAGGTGATCAGTGCTAGCCCACGCTCTCTGGGGAGATGGCCTTTGCACTGAGTCCTTATTTTTTTTTTAACACATCCTTTGATATATATTTAAAAAATTTTTATTTACGCATAGAAGAACTGGGGTACAGGCCAGAGGTGTGGGAAGTGAGAGGATTCCCCAGAGGCAGAGTGGGTAGCAGAACAGGTGGATCTACTAAAAGACACTAAGCAGAGCAGCAGGAGAGACTGGAGAGGTTGCTGCGCCATGTGGATCACTCCCTGGCCGGAGAGTGAACTGGCTGCATCCCCAGTAGTGTGACAGCACAGAGCCAACCCCTGTGCCGCCAGGGAGGCCCCTGCACTGAGTCTTGCTCCCCAGGATGCATTCTGGGTGGTCCCGCTGTGCCTCTGCCCTGTGCTGAGGTCACTCCAGAGGCTGTACCATGATGAACCAGGGACAGAAAGTCCCGCTGCCCCGTGCTAGTTTGGGGTTGGTGTGCCCGCAGGTATGTGGTCTGAGGGGTCTGGCAGCCAGAAAGGGCCGGGCCCCGAGGGAGGCAGGCAGCCTCCTTCTTATCTCGAGTATGTGATCAGGTCAGTTTTTCTTTTTTTGTTTTACTTTTGAGGATTTATTACTTTACCTTCTTTATTTTGGCATAATCAGAAAGTGAGAGACAGAGCGAGGAGAGTCTAAACATATGCATATAATGTGCTTCTCCAAGACATGTCTTATTTCACAGGCAAACCCAGGCCGTCACGCTGAACTTGATCAGGAGAAGGTCTTCTTCAAGGATGTCTCTGGTGAGGGAAAATACATTCACTTTTTTTCTTTCGGTGATGCCATCTTTAATAAAATATACTTTTGGTAGTGTAAACTTAGTTTGAACTACAAAGTCTGCCGACATTTGGTTTTTAAAAAAAAATATTTATTTATGCCTATAAGTACTGGGGTACATGTTAAGGATACTGGCGTGGGGTTGGGGTGGCGGTAAGAGGCTTCACCAGAGACTGGGGAACAGAATAGGCAGATATACTAAAATACACTGCTGAGGGGAGCAGCAGGTGGGACAGGAGAGGCCTGCCGCGCCGTGTGCTTTAGCTCCCTGGCTGGCCGGGGATTGAACTCGGGCATGCTGCACTGGCTGGCAACATCTTGATAATGCTGTCTTTAATCCCCGTGCCACGAGGGAGGCTCTGACATTTGATATTTTAAATCAAAGGAATGGCAGTTGTCCCTAGTTCAATCCTAAAATTCATATTTATATATAATATCTATTATAGTAAGATCTTTTAAATATGACATACAATTGAATCTAAAAACTTGGGTGATGAGCCAAGAGTAACAAGAAGTTAAGAGCTATTTAAAATGTTAAGTGATTTAACTGGTAAGATTATAAGCCTCTTATATTCGAATGTTTATATAAGAATTCCCGAAATCTGTGTGTCTTCCTTGCCTTAACCTTTTGGGCACAGTTTGTTGCGCTTTCTGACAATGTTAGGTGCACGTGCATAGGTGGTGTCATCATTCTGGTGGAGTGCCAAGGGTAGAGACAGCGAGAACTTCAGGGCCTTCGTGGGCATTTCCACGTAAGACAAAACAGCTTTAGAGGTGTCTGAAGGGGAGATTGACTTTACGTTTCTTGCAGAGGCAAAGTGTAACTCCCTTTCCAACCTTTCTCTTCTCAGCCTAAACCGCAGCCCTATGTGATGCCTGCCCCGCCCCCACTGCACTACAATGGACATTACTCAGAGCCCTACACCTCCTCCCAAGGTAGCGCGCTCCCAAGATGGCCCACAGAATGAATGCAAATGGAGTAAATCTCTGGCTACTGGAGATTTTGGTGTCAGGACAGGTTTGACTAACTTAACATCCAACATTCATGGCATGATTGTAACTGGTGGGTTCACAGAAGAAGCTACCATTAGCTTCAGTTTCCTGGATGTGTAAGAGGCCAGATGAGGCCCATGGGGGCTCCTGCCACCGGGCTTCTGTGTCCTGTGTGACCTCACCTCCTCCCACCCTCTCAACACACGCAAGATGGCCCAGGCCCTGCCTGAGGCCTCCCACTGGAAAAGCTTAAAGCTTCTTCTTTTTTATTATTTTGTTGAACTTACTCATTTATATACATTAAGTATATATTTCTATACATTAAGTATATATTTGATTAGTATAAAGAATTGTACTTTATAGTCTTCAAAGCTGAACCTGACGTGTTCATTTAACAATTTGTGCTCTACCGTATCTGTGAGCCCATGAAGATTTATGCAGAGAATTCACCACATTTTAAGAAGCATCGACTCTAGCAATGGGGGGAAAAAGTACCCCATCAACTGTCATGGTGTGATGAGGAAGCGATTACTATGCTGTTCAAAAGAAAGACTCGTTCTGCAAGTGGGGAGAATGGAGAGGGCGTCGGAATCCTGAAAAATGGGTCGATGGTAACAGGTAGAGGGAGGCGGGAGCTTGGCTGGGACTGCGCCACTGCTCTTGGGACAATGAGTGCCCTGGCACAGAGCGAGGGAGGGCATTCTGGGCAGCCGGGGGGGGGGGGCTGTCGGACTCTCGTCGGGACTGGCGGGTGATTCCTAGCGGCATAGAGGTGGGTGGTGCGGGCCTTGTTGAGGTGAGAACTTCCTGGTGGAGGTAGACAGCAGGGGAGCAGTGCTCTGGGGTGTGGCTTCTGAGAGAGGCCACCTCGGGGTCTTTCTACCCTCTTCACCTCCCTCACCTGGCACTCCGCTAACGCCTGGTTCTGCCTCCAGCCCCTCTACTTCTGGGGAAAGTTCACCTCTCTACTTTTCTCCATTAAGGGTTCCTTGCTCCTCATTCCTCTTCGCTGCTTGACAAACGGCCGAACATTTTCCTTCTTTTTCTTCAAACTACATCTTGGCTTTCCCTTCCCTCTGCAGCCACCTCTGAACTATGCACGTTCGGCTTCTGTTGGCTGCGGTTTACTCCTGCCTCCCTGCCCGCCCCTGCCGCCCTCTCGAAGCCCCCGGAGCCGCCTCACCGCCTCAGCTTACACTCAGGCCCCTCTCCTTCCTGCCCCCGCCCGTTAGTGTGGCTGGCTCGCAGACATCTGTGGTCCCCTCGTCTCCTGCATGTATCCACACGGCCTCACCCACATCACGTTCAGCAAAGATGACTGTCAAGCCTGCGTTGCCCACCATCACCCTGTGCTGCCGGCCATGTTTTTATCTGAGAAGTTGCTGGAGCAGTTAAGGGAGCTCCTGCTTGGGACATCCCACCCCTGTACCTGGCACAGGGTCACACCCAGCCAACACCATCAATGCTTACACCTTGCTGAGGATAAAGCTAGATTTTGTCACGCTGCTGCACAGGCCTGACCTTTCCCCATGTTCCCAAGTTCATCTTTACAATGAAGTCACTTTTGGTTTCCATATTTGGCTTTTCTCTTTTGTCCTCATTATCCAGTCAGTCACAAAGCCTGTGGCCTCCAACTTCCTATTCTATCTTGTCCCTAGCCCCTTCTTCCTCTTCCTATCTCTGCTCCTGATTCAACTCAGCCCCCCTCAGACCCCCCCGCCAGTTTTTTGACATCTCACAAGCTATCAAATCACCAAATCAGATCATCTGCAGTCTCTTCTCTCCCCAATTCACCTGCACCCCCCACCTCCCCCACCCTCCCCCGGCTCACCTTATCACCTCATGGCTATTCCTCAGCCCATGGCCAGCACCATAGTCAACCCTGGTCATGCTTCCTGCTGTCCTTTTTCTCCCCTCGGGCTACCTGACAGTCCAGCCCAACTGAGCCTGCCTCGGGGTGCTGTCTCCGGCTTTGCCCGAGATGCCCTTGTCCACAGACCCATGTGCTTCCGGCCAGTCAGGAGAGGTTGTGCTGTGCCGTGGGAACGAGCACTTCGAGGTTCCTAGTGACGTATCAGTAGACGCCACTGGTAGCTCAGGTAATCTGTGCACCACACCCTGGCAGGAGGGCTCTGCTCCACATGAGCCTGGTGTGGGCTGGGGCCTCTTCCATCTGGAATGCTGGCCGTGCAGGGAGGAGGAAGGAGCTGGAAACCGCGCTCTTGGTCAGCTCGTTCTTGATGTTCCCAGTGCATCAGCTGTGCCTTCATTCCCAGAGAGGGAGACCTGGCTGCTGCTGAAGCTGGGCATCCAGCACAGGAGAGCCCCTTCCTTCCGTAAACGCTGTCTCCTTGAACTGTAACACTTCTTCTTGAGGGGCTGTGACTTCCTACATTCTGTGTCCTCTTTATTTGCCTGTCTTATAGTCCTCTTCACACTCTCTCCAAGGCCCCTGTTAGTTCTGGGCAGTCTTTACACATACAGCCCCACAGATGGCTTGTGGGCTGCAGACAGGAGCCTGGAGGGAGATCGTGGGCAGAGACTGTGCTAGTGCAGACAGGCGGATCTGTGCCAGCAGTGAGAAAGGGGGGCTCCAGAGACTGAGATCATGATCTCGCAGACCCAGGGGGGCCTGGGGCCAAGGGGTCATTGTGTATCCACAGGGAGAAGACAGAGATGTGTGTGGGTGCTATTTCTTTATTGTGGTGGGTGTGCCCCCAGATAAAGTCCACACTAGACTGGTGTATTCACCTGAATAACTATTACTTGCTTAAACACATCAGTGATGGCTTTCAATCTCAAAATCTGCTTTTTGGAGGCAACTGTTCTCTGAAGGACTTGACCACTGCTTTCCTTTGAAGTGTTAGAAATCACCCTCATTAGTGACAGCGTTTCAGGTTAACTGCAGATTGAGAGAAGAAACTTGTCTCCTCCCAGCACTGTATAGGCACCCCCCCCCCAACCCCCAGCCCCTGTGGGTGAGATTAGCCCTGACTCTGCCAGCTGCGGACGCCTTTCTCACTGCCGGGAGGGGCCCATGCCCAGGCGGGTATGGCTGGCTTAGGATGGTTCTGCTTGACTTCTGGGCCCTGGCCAGGTGTGCAGCCATGGATGACATTGTTGTACCTGAAGAAACTCAGGACCTGCTGTCCTTCTGTCTCATTCTGTTCAAACAACCTACACTTCATTGAAGTCCATTCTGGAACTAAGTCAGCATCAGCAAGGCCACTCCCTACCCATGAGGAGAAAGCAGAGGGGGCCCCAGTGCCTCAGTATCTCTGCCTCCAGTTTCCCCGACTTCCAGGTCTAGATCTGGCTACTGTTTATCGGGGTCCGAATCCTGATGCCCTCCTCAGCATGGGCAGAGCCGCCCCTTCTGAAGGTGCGGAAGCCGAGGCTTGAGGTGCAGTCCTGGGTCACTCAGACACAGTGTGGGGAATGCCTGGCTGCGGGTTTTCACCAGCTTCACTGAAATTGTCATCAACACTCAGGGCCTATCACTGTATAGCTGGAGCAATTGATCCCATTTAATACATTTTTTAAAAAGTCTCATTTTACAGTGCATTTTAAATGTCTCCCCCTCCAGATAACCTCTTTGTGACCAAACAGAATGGATACTATTGTCACTCCCAGACAAGCTTGGATCGCGCCCAGATTGACCTCAGCGGTCGCATCAGGAACGGCAGCGTCTACAGCGCGCACAGCACCAGCTCCTTAAATAACCCGCAGCCCTACCTGCAGCCCTCACCCATGTCCTCCAACCCGAGCATCACCGGGAGCGATGTCATGAGGCCAGACTACATCCCCTCACATCGGCACAGCGCCCTGATACCCCCCTCTTACCGGCCCACCCCGGATTATGAGACTGTGATGAAGCAGCTCAACCGAGGCCTGGTGCCCGCGGACAGGCAGAGCCACTCACTGAGGAACCTCAACATCGGCAACTCCTACGCCTACAGCCGGCCGGCCGCGCTGGTCTACAGCCAGCCGGAGATTCGCGAGCACGCACACCTGGCCTCGCCGCAGTCGGCGCACTACCCGTTCAACCTCAACTACAGTTTCCACAGCCAGTCTCCTTACCCCTACCCCGCCGAGAGGCGGCCGGTGGTGGGGGCCGTCAGCGTGCCGGAGCTGACCAACGTGCAGCTGCAGGCCCAGGAGTACCCGGCGCCCAACATCATGAGAACCCAGGTGTACCGCCCGCCGCCCCCCTACCCCTACCCCAGGCCGGCCAACAGCACCCCGGACCTGTCCCGCCACCTCTACATCAGCAGCAGCAACCCGGACCTCATCACGCGGCGCGTCCACCACTCGGTGCAGACGTTCCAGGAGGACAGCCTGCCGGTGGCCCACTCCCTGCAGGAGGTCAGCGAGCCGCTCACGGCCGCGCGGCACGCGCAGCTGCAGAAGCGGAACAGCATCGAGGTGGCCGGGCTGGCGCACAGCTGCGAGGGCCTGCGGCTCAAGGAGAGGACCCTGTCGGCCTCGGCCGCCGACGTGGCCCCGCGGGCCGCCGGCTCCCCGCCCGCCGTGTTCCTGGACAGGGCCCAACGGGAGGACGCGGCCGAGCCGGGAAGCCCGAGGTACGGTCACAAAAAGTCCCTTTCGAATGCCACCGTGCTGATCCACAGCAGCGAAGACGACGATGACGACGAGTTGGAAGAGGACAACCGGCCCCCGGTGCCGCTCTCGCCGCGGCTCCGGGCGTCCCAGGGCGGGCACCCCCCTGACACGCCGCCCTCCCACCCCAGCGGCTCGGTGCCCGCCCTCGCCGGCCCCCTGCACATTCTCGAGCCCCCGATCCCCGTGGCAGACCCCGAGAGGAGGGCCAGGGACGCCGGCCCCGCCCTGATGGCCGCGGTGCAGCGGCGCCACAGAGAAGGGGTGCTGACGCCCTCCATGTCGGAGTCCGACCTCACCACGTCGGGGCGGTACCGCGCCAGGAGGGACTCGCTCAAGAAACGGCCCGTGTCAGACCTGCTCTCTGCCAGGAAGAACCCTGGTGAAGGCCTGCCGCCGTTGGGGGTAAGCTGGCAGGCTGCCGAGCCCAGCCGGCGGCCGCCGCCGCCCCGGCCGAGCCTCCGCGGCCGCTCGCCTGTCTCGACTCCTCACCGCTGGCGGTCTCCACTTTTCCGCTTTTAGCTTTTAATCAGTTTCCAACACACACACCTTTTTTATTGTGTGAAAGGCTGAGTTTGACTACCTGTAGAAATGAGGAATTTTAGTCATTGTGCAGAGGTAAATTAGATGAAGTCAGACGGTCAACGCCGGAGGTTGAGGGATGGAACAGAAAGGAGGAGTGAAATCTTTTAGCCGTGTGGAGGGAGGTGCTGAGAGCGGAGTCTAGCAGAGATGGCGTTGCTAGTCACCGGCTGGTAAAAATGCACTGGTGACAGCTGTCCAGAGCCGCGTGTGTTCCTCTGGGGCCTGGGACGTGGGAGGGGGAGCATTCCTAATGCTTTGTGTGCCTCTGGAGGTCAGGTCTGTGTGGGTACAGCTCGCATTGCTTGGCTGGAGAGAGTTCTGGAGCTGGGAAGGTGGCACTTTGTCAAAAGAGGAAACCCAAAGAGCTGCGGTTTCCTAAGGTGGACTGCTCTGAGGCCCCAGGGAAGGCCCCTTGCCGCAGTGGGGCTCTGTTCAGTATTCAGTGCAGCAGTGGAGCTCCACTTGCCTCCTTGAGCAGGTTACGAAGTGCCAAGGGTCATGTCCGCTGCCAGCTGTGTGCCCAGCACGGCCCTGCTTCACAGTTCCAGTCTGTACCAGGGCCCCTGTTACACCCAGCCTCGGGGCTGCTAAGTAACTGCACCAAGGTCACACAGGTAGCGAATGGCCCAATGGGAATTTTGATGTTTATGTGTTCTCTTACTGTCCACACTGTTCTCCGTCTGGCATATTGTATATGAGATTTTACTAAGTGACCATTTCTGCTCTGAGCCTTGCTGTGCTCTGCCTCACGGAAACTTTGTAGTTCCGAGTCCCAGCCAGTTGTGGCTTCGGCACGTGCGTGTGTCTGCTCCAAGTCACGTGCTGCGCAGCTTGGGCCTCCACACGGTGCCCTGCTCTCTGGGTAGGGGACCGCACCGTGTTAGCCTCGCCGTCCCGTCTCAGGGCTACCCCCCATCTCTGCAGTCTGCACACCAGTCTGGGGGGCCTGTCACTGCAGGTGTGATCTGGTCTAGGATGTGTCAGCGCCTCCAAGCTGCTGAAAATAGCCACGAAGGCAAGAAAGAATTCACACAGCCTGATAGTGCCCCTGAAGACCCTACAGACTAAAGTTGCTTACCCAAGTGTCATGGATTTATGTGTTTTGGATTTGAATTGTTTGTTTTGAACCTTTCTTGGGAAGATACTCACCCACCTACCTGCACATAAAGGCTGGTGTCAAAGGCTGACTGAACTGGCGGGTTGTGGCTAAGACCATTGTCTCTGGTGGAGACAGGGTGTGAGTGTGTATCCCAGGGTGACTCCTGGCCCACTGGGCAGCGCCTTTCGCAGCGAGTACACCCCCCTTTTATATCAGGAACTGGCATCATTTTTATGTGTGACATGAGTCTTCCTCCCAGAGGACCTTTGGCTGCGTACAGTCTGCTCCTTAAGCCTTTGTCCCCTGTTTGTTTTGTGTGGCACCTGGCACATCAGCTGAATTTGAGGGTTTTGATCCGATTGATTTTCTGAGCAGGCATATTTTCTCTCGGTGGCCTTTAAGGCTTATTGGACTAGTGAAATTATGTGATGGGATTTTGCTTTTGCTCTTTTTGCAGAAGGGATTCTTACTCCGGAGGGCGAATGGTAGCTATGACTAAGGGGAAGGGTGTAGGGCCTACAAGTGGACAAAACTGGGTCTCGGTCTGTTCTCTGCCCAGCAGGCCAGACCCTTCACGCACCAGAGCACCAGCCTCTTTGTCTCAGAGGCAGCTACTCTGCCTGCTTGGCGCTGTTAGTGTCACGTAAGGTTTGGCATGAAAAATGCCTCTAGGTTACATGGTACCGCATAACTGACTTTATGTGAAAGGTTTTCGTTGTGACACGGATCACCCTGCATACAGAGGCCGCACCGTGACCTTGGGCAAGCTGCTCAGCTCTGACTTCCTTCTCTTGCTTATAAATGGGCATCACTGGTGTGGTGAGGGGTTTCACCAGGGTCCTGGCTCATAGATGTGCCCATCTGTATTAGTGTGTTATTGCAAGGTTGGATCATACATCTAACTTAATGACACCCTAATAATTGTAGCTGTTGGTTCAGTCCCCTACTAGACTCCCAACCTTGACCCCTGAGTAGTCACTGGGGAGTTGCCAGTCTCTTACTTCATAATTGCAACAAACAGATACACTAGTGTGAATTAAGGCTGTAGAGATTTAGAATTAATTAAAAACAGTGAGACAAATTGCAGATAAGCAGGAACATTTTAGAATTCTCCACCCATCTCCACCTCCACGGACTTGATTGTCATCTGTAAAAGGTGGACAGGTTTCCGCATGGCTTCAGCTATGCAAAGCTTCTGTTTCTGTTGCAGCCTTGGTCTTGTGAGGTGGTACTAAAGTAAGAAACCATGTTGGGGTTGAAACCATGCGCCTGTGCTCTTAAGGCAGTCAGTAGTATGTGGGGCTAGTTTCCCCAGATGTTTCTTCATGTATGACTTCAGAACTGAACTCATAGCCTGTTAGCTTCATGGAGCATATTTGAGCTGAGCCTGTAGTCAGTTCATGGAGACAAATGCTGAAACCACTGCATCAGCTGGGAAGAGACGTCTTAAATTTCGAGAACTGCATGAGCCAGACCTGAGGTTCTTTAGCAGTTTGGAATTGGCCGCAGTGGGAGTATTTGCCCTGGGGATTAGCCAACCTGCCCTGTCAGAGAACTGGTCGCGCCATCTCCACCCGTCAGCTGTCCCACCCTCTCCAGCCCACTCTGCAAACATGGCCCATGAGCTCCAGGCCAAGCCGGAGCCTTTTAGACGTGTGCCAACTCCCTCCCTCCCCACTGCCCAGCTGCTAGAGCTGGAATAAAATTGCCTTCGTTTATGAGACAGAACTGAGGAAACCTTTTCTGTCCAATTAGGTCTACTGTCCTTATAGCTGCTGCAGCTCCCAAGGAGTGGTAGACCCCGAGAGACCGGCATTCTTAGGCTCACCGGCCTCAGAGAAGAAAACTGCTTCCTTTACAATAACCTTCGTAAACTTCTGTTGCCAGGAGACAGAATTCTGCGGTTGCCTCCTCTCATGCCCTGCCCTCCTCTCATGCCCTGCCCTCCAGGGGTCGTGATGGGGGTTTCAGCCTGTTTCATTTTCCTGCTTGAAAAATGTAGTTCGGAGAGGTATAGTAACTCAGCTCAGGCCACATGTGTCTGCCATGAGAATGGGGATAGAATGGTTCTCCTAGAACTTACTGATTTTTTTTTTCAGGGTGGCATAAGGAATAATTTATGTTTTCCAAACATTATCAAAATTTGTTATAATCAAGTAATCACAGCTGACTTTTTGGCGTGTCATGTTGTGATTTCAGGAGTTCTGTGAAGGAATGCTGTCTGTCTGGAGCCTCACCTTTCATTACACAGAGGCTTGAAACCACTTGCATTTCGTCACCATCTATCTGGGAGACTTATCAAGGCTTTGGCCTTGAAAGGAATGTCTTCCTCCTCCTGTTTGTTAGACAAGTGTGTGCGCCTGTGAGGGAGTGTAATTGGCCCGGCGGCTGCTGGCAAATGTGGACACTGTCCCTCTTCCCAGCCCTTAGTCCATTGAAACCTCTTTTCAAAGGGGCTGTTTTTGTGTATGTCTCATATATATACATGTAAATATTTTTATAGGGAATGAAAAAGAGAGTAGATGCCAAAAAAATCGGACCTCTCAAATTGGCTGCTCTCAATGGACTCTCTCTGTCCCGGCTGCCTCTACCAGATGAAGGGAAGGAAGTGCCCGCCCGAGCCACCAACGATGAGCGGGTAGGTATGGACACGGGCTGCCTCGTGAGGCGTCAGCCTGTCTCTGGCGCCTTTAGTAGTCATAGATGAGTGTTCAGGGATGTTGTAATCTGTCGCTCAACACTAGGGCAAATTTATAGCTAATGTTGTAATAGATGATTTCAGGCTGAGGAGATCTTTGGGGATTTCTGAATGTTGTTCTTTACACCCATGGTGGTCTTGACTCTTTACAGCCTGAGAGGAAATCTACATGAGCACACGTAGAAAAGAAGGCAGATTTGAGTGTTTTGGTTATATAATCTGTCTTGAGAGCTAAAGAGTTGCTGAAGTTCTCAAAACTTCCTTTGTGACTGAGATGTATTTGCTATGAGGTTTTATTTTATCAAATTCTGACAGGCACAATTACATTCTATGCCATGTCTCCAGCCTCTGTGTATTACGTATTATAAAATGGAAGCATCTGTTCATAGAGGTTGGAACTGAGTAGCCTGCCTGAGGATTTATTGCTTCCCAGGAGAATCTTGTTTCTCTGGGGTAACAAAACTGACCAGAGATTTATAGACTATAAAACAAATTGCTTTAGGTCAGCTTCTACCTTTGATTTATAATTCTCACCAACAAGATTTCTGAATTTGTTCTTTGAACTCTTTCCTGTTTGCTAAAGTTAAACTTTGGTTTCAGCTGGACTTTTTTTTTTTTTTTGAAGAATTACTTATTTATGCATACAGAACTAGGGTACAGGCCAGAGGCACAGGGGTGGTGAGAGGATTCACCAGAGACAGAGTGAGGAGCAGAACAGGCAGATCGATGAAGTACACTGCTGAGGGGAGCAGCGGGTGGGCCAGGAGGGGTCTGCCACACCACGTGGGTCACCTCCGGGGTAGGGAATTGAATTCACATTGAAGCGGCTGTGTCCTAACACTTTGCGCCACCAGGGAGGGTCCTCACCTGGAATTTTCAATAGTAGATATGCTAGATACATTAGACTTGAAGCAGAAAGTGTCACCAAATGTGACGGTATTCATCTTATTCTACATGCTCTATCTTACAGTGTAAAATTCTGGAACAGCGACTAGAACAGGGAATGGTGTTCACAGAATATGAACGAATTCTTAAGAAACGCCTTGTTGATGGGGAGTGCTCAACAGCACGTCTCCCTGAAAATGCAGAGAGAAATCGATTCCAGGACGTCCTTCCTTATGATGACACCAGGGTGGAGTTAGTCCCAACCAAAGAAAACAACACCGGCTACATCAACGCATCACATATTAAGGTGAGCAGGACACCTGGAGCAATCCATAGTAACGAAGGGCTTCTCAGTTGAGTGGAAAGAATTGTAAAGTGAGGATCTGTCTCCTAAAAACACCCCACTTTGAACCATGGGGACAACACTTTGCGAGCTGGGGGCCAGGACAGCAGGGCCAGAGGCAGAGAGCGTGCTGAGCAGAGCTGAGGTCAGGGCTGCGCTCTGTCCCCCACTGTTACCAGGGCTTGGGGAGCACGTCTTGGCCTGACTGTAGAACTTGGTCCCCCTGAATCCGAGGGCCCCTTCAGCCCACCCGCAGCGGCGCTCTCGGGCAGCGGGCACTAGTTGTCCCGTCACACGCGCGTGACTTGTGCGGCCTGGGCTGTGCCAGCGCCGTCCTCACTGCGGGGCCGTTGTCCCCTCGGCATCCCCCCGGAATCCTTTTTGGAGGTAATTTTATCCCTTGAGGAAGCTTTGCTATTTTTCTCTGGAAACACTAAAATGCCATTTCACTGGGGTAGCGTTGCTCCCGTAGGTGAGTAAAGCCTGATGCCCTGTCGTGGCATCTTGAGCTGCTGGCACTAGGCAGCGTGCCTGCTCTGGGGAAAGACACATTTTCTTCTTGTGAGTGAGTGAGATCTGTGGTCAGGTGTTGTTTTTCCTCTTTCCCACCTTTTTTGTGGTTTGCAGGTGGTATTTGAGAGAGAGTAAAATCATGTTGTCACACAGATATGATGTGAGTCTAGAGCACGTTCAGTTTTTTTTTTTTTTAAAGATTTATTTATTTGTGCATACAGAACTGGGGTACAGGTCAGAGGCTCAGGAGCGGTGAGAGGCTTCACCAGAGACAGAGTGGGAAGCAGAACAGGCAGATTGACGAAGTACACTGCTGAGGGGAGCAGCTGGCGGGTCAGGAGAGGTCTGCCGCGCCATGTGGTCACCTCCGGGGCAGGCGGGAATCGAACTCATGCGGAAGCGGCTTTAGATTCTCAGTGCTGTGCTTTAACCCAGTGCGCCACCAGGGAGGGCCTAGAGCACGTTCAGTTTTAAAGAAGCCTGCGATGGGGTGGAAAAGGAATAAGAAAAAGCCTGTAAGCTCTAAGCCTTCAATTGCAGCCCCAACTAAGTTCACTTTGTCCGAACTGCCACGAGCGTGCTCGCCTGTATGTCACACACACCTGCCCATTGTATCTCACCTTTCTAATTTCAGGTCTCTGTCAGTGGGATCGAATGGGATTACATTGCCACACAGGGGCCGTTGCAGAGTACCTGCCAGGACTTTTGGCAGATGGTGTGGGAACAGGGAATTGCAATTATAGCAATGGTCACTGTGGAAGAGGTGAGTACTCCTTTCTCTTCAGCGACTGCCTGGCCCCAGAAGAGCGGTCACCGTGTATCTGGGCAATGCGACCTTTGGAGAGAACGTCCGGGGGCGCCGGGGCTCTGAGTGCAGCACACTGCGGGCCCACAGCACCCCGGCGGGCCTCGTGTCTTGACCTTGTCTTGTCTTTGACAGGAGGGCGGAAGGGAGAAGAGCTTTAGGTACTGGCCGCGGCTGGGCTCCAGGCACAACACCGCCACCTACGGGAGGTTTAAGATCACCACGCGCTTCCGCACAGACTCGGGCTGCTACGCCACCACCGGCCTGAAGATGAAGCACCTCCTCACCGGGCAGGAGCGCACCGTCTGGCACCTGCAGTACACCGACTGGCCCGCGCACGGCTGCCCCGAGGACCTCAAGGGGTTCTTGTGTGAGTGCCTTTGTGCCCAGCACAGCTGTCCTCGCGTCGGTTAAATCAGCCACAGAGAGGAAGATTTGGTTTCCTTCCTCTTGTCTGATAAAAGCTTTGGATTTGCTTCTGAACATAAAGGTCTGCAGTGTAGGGGAAACTTCAGAAGTTCTTAAAGTATCATCTGTAGGTTGAAGGCTGTCCCTTGGGAAAAGATCTCCGTGGCAGGCCGTGATGGAGGGAGGCCCCGGCCTGTCAGTGGCGGCTTGGCCAGTGGGTGGGGTTGGCCGATTGGCGACCAGTACCCCTATCCGGAGGCCTCTCGATCCCAGGACAGAATCTGCAAATAGAGCGGCCGATTGGCTGTGACTGAGTCCTTGTGTTTCTGTGTTTCACTGGCATTCCACAGCATACCTTGAAGAGATCCAGTCTGTCCGACGCCATACGAATAGCACAAGTGAGCCCAGGAGCCCCAGCTCGCCGGTGCTGGTGCACTGCAGCGCAGGCGTGGGGCGGACAGGAGTGGTCATCTTATCGGAGGTCATGATCGCCTGCCTGGAGCACAACGAGGTGCTTGCTTCCTTTTCCTTGGCAGGGGTGGGAGGGGAGGTGGCCTGGGCACGAGGCCGGGAAGAGAAGGACTTGAGGGCCGAGTGGCTCTTTCCGAGCACGTTTCCCGGGTGTTTAATGAAGAGGCCTAGGTACAACGAGCCCATCCGGCTCCTGGGCATATTTCTGTTTGGACGCCCCCTTTCTCCAGGCGAGGGCCTCACCGCCACTGCTCTGTCTGTCACCCAGATGCTGGACGTCCCCAGGGTGCTGGACATGCTGCGGCAGCAGCGGATGATGATGGTGCAGACGGTCGGCCAGTACACGTTCGTGTACCGGGTTCTCATCCAGTTCCTGAAGAGCTCGCGGCTCATCTGAGCTCACAGCTGGGCTGGGACTGACCGCGGCAGCGTTCACAGCTCGGAGTGCCTGCCTGCCGCCCGCCCTCTCCTGGACGCGCCTGCCCACAGAAAGCTCCTCCGACAGGAGAGAGGGTGTGAGGGCTTCACTGAGAGCGCGCCGGTCACTGGCCGCACGGGGCGGGGGGTTTCGGCCGGACGGGTGCTGCAGCGGACCCGGTCCAGGGCCCGGCCTGCTCTGGCCGCCCCAGTGCTGGCCTCGGTGCTGGCCCGCGTCCCAGAGGTCACGTTTTCTAGACAGTGTCCTCCTGTTTTCTGAAACTATGCTAGGCGATGCTGCCGGTCGTTGAGGGTGCATGAATTTTTTAAAGCTAGTTTTTGATAATGGAATTTTATTTTATGACTAAAATATTTCAGGCTTTCTTGTTGGTAAACTGAACTTTCCGTGGCAATGAGCTGCAGACAAGTGGCTCCTTTATCACTTGGTCTTTAAAACCATCTTACTATCCTTTGCCCTTTTAAAGAATCCTGAATACGTAACAGTTTGGTTACCAGACCCAAAACTACAAGAAGAATCTAAAAGTGTTATTTTAAAACATAAAAAAGGCATTTTTATATTCAGAAAAAAAATTTTTTTTATCCAAAACTTCTATATCTTTGTGCTATCAATATTTTCCAAACAAGAGCGCTCAACTCACTAAGGTACTGAAAGGAGTCTGCCAGCAGGAGGGAAAGTTGGGGTGAAGGTACAGTATTTAAAATGTGACCATGATCAGATTTGCTCATTTCTTCAGTATTATTCATAAACATAAATGAGTTTGGTTATATGGTTGAAGATGAAGTGAAGAACAATTGCATAGGATTGTTTCAAGCACTTTTTTGGTTAAAATCAAGAAATCTGAGTTTTAGTAGATGTGTTGCTGTATAGCTGAGGCAGTAGCAGTGGCAGTGGGTTGCTTCAGCGTTTTGGAAGAGGTAAGTGTTAAGGATGTAGGGTGACTGGGGTGAGCAAGTGAGGTGTAGGCTCAGGATGGGAATGCAGGGTGCCGGTGTCTTGTGAAATGCAGTATTACCCGTCTTCGGACTGAGGCTTGGGATGCAGGTTCCCCACAGGTAGGTAACCCCAGGAAATTTAAGGCCTGTCCCTCTCAGTGACTCACTTTTTCCTTGCAGTTTTTCCACCTAAACCTCTATGCTTTAACAAATAAAATTAGGATCATTCAAAGACGCTTTGAAGAGGCTGGATCTTCCCTTGGTTGTGGGAAGGGCGGAGTTAGTAGTTGTTTCACATCCCCTTCCGGCACTACAGCCCAAACTTGCGGGTCCCCCAGGAGAAAGCTGTGTTACTCAAGAGGTACTTGAATTTTTGCTCCTTAATCTTTGAACTTCTCTGAAGACGTCAATTTTAGTTAGTGGTGTCACTCCCCCAGCCTATTCAGCACATCCCAGTGGGCAGCCCCAGGCTGAATTAATGGGGGGTAAGGAGGGGCGTGGTTGGTGCTGGTCCCAGCCAGGACGATCTTGTATTTGGAGCAGAGTAGGTAATGACTAAGCGGTACATGTAGCTGAAGCACCATCTCCGTTTTCTTTTAACTGAGGCTGCTTCTCTAAAATGTCAGATCAGACTGTTTCCCCAAGTTACAATATCCTAGGGGTAGTTCCGAGTCGCACTAAAGCAGTTGAATGCTCCTGTCCTTCACACAGTGCGTATCTGCCTACCTCCGAGTCACGCAGAAACCAGCCACTGAATTTTCAGAGGAAAATTCAAAAGATATCAATGGAAGTGACTGTTGAAAGTGGGCACATTTCTCATTTAGGTACAGCATGTGAATTTTAAATCTGAATTTGTAAGAGTTTGGTTTAAAGAATCATAGACTCAGATGTAAATAGTTATTATAAGAACGGGATGAGAGTTTCATGGTGATAGTTCCCATCTCCACACCGTGTAAAAGACAGGAGTGTTTCCAAGGCTTTTCTAAATTTTCCACGGTACGTTTTTAAAAAGTGCTTTTCTGTCAGGTTTAAGCATTGTGAAGTGCCCCACTGACAAGAACATATTGTAAAACAAAAAATCTGAAGAGTAATATATAGTATATTTGTATTCTTATTGTAATAATTTGATTCTAAGTAAACTGTTTATGAAGCTAAAATGTGTCCTATAAATGTCACTCTTAGATGTTGTATGTGTGACATAGCTTCTAAGATCCATGTAAATTTTTTGTCCTTTTTGAATTTAAAAATTTTAATTACAGTAGTGAATATGAAAATATTTGTCAGTAAAACGAAACCTACATTACAGTGATTTCCAGCAGTGAACACTGAGGTGTGGTACGTTTCCCATATCCGAATCGACAACGCTATCATCTGCCAGACTTACACTATGCTTTGCGTGTCTTAGTCTCTTTTAGTTCCATGCTAGTATTATTTTCATATCAGAGTTACCAAAATGTTTATTTTTGCAAAACGTAGATTATAAACAGGTGTTTTCCATTGATCAGTTTTGACATCTCTGGCATCAGTTTTCCTGATTAGTGAAGGTTTTTGTGATGAAAATCGTGTAATTGGTCATTGTGAGCACAGAAAGTGTTCATTTTAGAATATCATTTGGAATGTTGATTGCAGCCATTATTAATTACTTCCTTCTGAAACGTCTACTGTGAAGCATTCAGAAAGTCCTAGAATTAGCCTTTAAAACTCTTGGGCAGGATCAAAACTGGACATGTGCTTCCTTAGAAACTTCCAGAAAGAACAAGGTCTAGGTAGAAATACAGAGAAAGAGACTAAGGGGTAACAGCAGGTTGGGGGACCAACTTCTCTGAGAAGCTTTCATCATCATCAGAAGAAGAAAAAAAAGAGTCATATTAATGTTCACAATAGTAGGAAAATCTATATGTATATGTGCTGTATAATGGGAACCTTATATGTAATAAGAGATAAAACTGGAGATGTAGCTGAGCAGCAGGAGTGTATTTGGGATTTGCATGAACCAGAGGAAGTAAGAACTACTGTTTTATTATATGTCGTTTTTAATATCAGCTTTTAAAGGAACTCTTGGATATAAATTTAGGGAAATTACTTCCCATCAAGATTTAATGTGGAACAAACTAAAACTGTCTCTCTCCAGTTTAAATTTATTTAAAAAAAATTAAATTGGAGGGGTATGTTTTTTTGAGCTCAGGGATAGACATTTCGAAAATAGAGGATATGACGTGCTAGAAATTTACCTGGGAAAATACTCCTCAAAAAACCATGAATTTTTCAAATTTCTGTAGCTGAAGACTCCATTTATGCTGGTATCCACAATTACAGAAAAATGAGGATGAGTCAGAAAGTCCAACTGTTTAAAGTTTGTATGTGTTGGGGAGTACATGGTTACAGAACTTTAGAAAATATTTGAAGGGGTCTTAGATTGTTAAATTGGCAGTTTTCTGTATATTGTGGACAGTTACCAAATAAAAATTATGCTCTTAAATTCAGTTGTATGTTGAATTATTGAGATGTAGTAAGATCTCCCCTTGTAAACAAGTACATGGATGTTAATTAACTTTTTTAGTCTGTGCCCCCAAATCTTATTTCAACCATAGAGGTTCTGACCAATAAGCGGTGGTATATGGGACCAAGTTACCATAATCAACACCAAGAAAAATATATGACATCTTTTGTCCCAGCTGTGCCTTGGTGTGAGATCAGAGACCAAGTTCTCTGGGGTTCAGACTGAGCATCACCGCCAAGTGAATCAGGTTTCATGAGAGAGATGGGCCTAACTGAATGTCACGGCAGGGGTTACAGAAACTTGAGAGGCACGTGGAGAAAGGGAGAGAATAAGACATGATGAAGTGAGCAGGGATCCTACATCCGGACTGGCTGTGGGGGAGGCAGGAGAGAGGGAGGGAGGATGAGTCAGCAACACCCTCCCCTGCCTTCCTGCCCCTTACATTCCCTCCTGGGGCTGCCACTGGCATGGAAAAGGAGGTAAAAGATGGGCCAAGAAGGAAGTTGAAGGTCTGGCATCCTGCTGAGGAAGTGCGAATTCCAAAGCCAATTTTAAATTATACTTTAATGATACAAGCAAGCATAAATGGGTAACAAGGCAGAAATTACTGTTTGAACTTGTCTTTGTAGAAATAACACACTGGTGATACTGTTCTGAATTTTTGAAAATTACCTATTAGGTAGGAAATCTTTTGGTCACTATTCCTTAAGCGACTTTAGTTGACGTTGTGGTCTGTCATAAAAGCCTCTGGAATGCTCTTGAATAACTGTGTGTCCAAGCTGGCTGAGACAGACTCGCATTCCAGTGGCATCAGCCAGCAAAATGTCTCTCAGCAACTGGGTAGATGTAAAGACCAGTACTTCAGCTGTCAAATGTATCCACCATGGACCTTTTAAAGTGTGCCTTGCCTATATTCAATTCACACTCTAAAAACTTGGTGGAAAAAATCTTAAAATTCATTCTTAGAAGCACTTTTTACTGGTGATGAAATTCAGAGGGTTGGATTATCTATGTTAGTGAGAAAGTGAATCTGGCCTAAATTTTTTGAGTAGGTTGCTGAGACTAGTCCAGATTTAATGATAATTGACTTTCCATTTCCATCTGCTTATTCATCGGCTAAAAAAAAAAAAAAATCCAGAACAAAGGAAGGGAGAAATACTTGCTTCATCACTTTTCATGAGTGCAGAAACACAGGTCTGGCTACTATTATGCATGCTGTGTGTCTTCCAACTCTTTTAATCCTAAAATTGTTTTGAAAATCACTTGCAATTAGTGGCCATGGAATGAGACAAATCTTGATCACTCATTTTATAGTACGATTTACTGAGATATCTAAGAGGTGGGTCCTGAGAGACACAGTGATGATGTAATTTTACTGGAATAGTGACAGTGGGAGGCTGGTTTAGTAGAACAAATGGCCTGAAAAAAAGTAAATATTCTCAGAGATGATAAATATCTAGAAGAGTTGATAAGAGTAGAAATAATGCAAAACTCTTTCAGTTCACATTGAATTGAGTTGAACAAAAAGATGAAGGAAAAAAAAAGCGAGAAATACTAATCTGTCACAACTTTTAGACTACAACTCTAATAGGTTTGTTTGCATACTTTTTTTGGTGATACAACAGAGACTGAAGTAGTTTTTATGTAGGGCTGTTTCTTATAAGTTAAATTTTGTGAATATCATTTTGGACCCTGTCTGTATTAAATTTTTCAATTCTAAGTTTATTGTTAAATCAAGCTTGACACAATTACTAATACATTAATTTCTAAGGAACATGTTGAAATGGGAAAATATCATATTAGGCCTTTTTAAAAATGCAGACACATAGTCAAACCTTACTCAAAAGATTGCCATTGGAATGGTTTTGCTTTTTATTGTAATCCCAAGTAGTTTTTTTTTTAAAGATTTATTTATTTATTCATATAGAACTGGGGTACAGGCCAGAGATG